AATAAAATCAGAACTAATCTTACGAAATAATCGGTTTACTATCCTTTTATTACATCGAAAACAATTAGCAAACATGCATGACAACAAAGGACTTCAAACCCTCATTTTTGGCTCAATAATTCGGCAAACTTAAAACAATTTAAAAAGACTTTAAGCTCACTTTCGAAAGGTGAAGAGGAGGGAGTGCTTTAGAAAGTTAACAAACTTTTCTGATTGATTAATATTTAAGGCATACCAACAAAGCGAAATAATTAAAATAAGTGAAGCGTTTTCCACGGCACTCAAAACCAGCAGTAACAAATGCTGCAACATCCACAATTTGCTGCTCGAGACTGTCTGCATGAAGAGGAAAAGAGGAGATACGAGTATACAAATATAGTATTACGCACACACAATGCTTGTAATACCCGAGAATTGCTCCCCAGATGGTACATCGACACATTGTTTGTTGCGCCGATGACTCCGGTAAGCTTTTCATTCCCGGTGCTGTCGTGATGTTATCAGTGATGCGTAACATGAAGTCGCGCCCCCATCCATTCGGCACTGTTATTGCCGTTGCAGTTGTGACATTCCGCCAACTGTTATCAGAACAGAAACCGAAGGAAAGGGATAAAATGTGAAAACTTCAATCCCATTTCGTTGCTCATCGCCAAATCTTAGCTTCTTTAAAATGCGAATGACATGCCAAAGTACTTCAAATTCAAGATTTTTGTTTTCCCCACTCACTTCAATGCATATTTTTTCCATTTCTTTTTTTTTGTTTGTTTTTTTTTTGCTGCCTTCAACATTGGAATTTGAAGTATTTACCAAGATACTTCTGTCTTGGTTATTTGCTGGTTGATATTAAGCAGCATAAGACGCATTCATCCGCCGAAATTATCCCCTAAATGTCACTAGCCGTCATTACGTCATAAATACACTGCCACAGACGTTGTTTGGTTTAATTTTGCTTATTCTTTTCCCCTCATCGTCTTTGGGATATACAAAATTTTGTATTTAAAACTTTTTCTGAAGATTTCTGTGCGTACTTGAAGAGTAATTCGGTTTTATTAAGCATGTAAAACATTGTTTTGGCTTTGAGCTGATTAGTTCTAGTACTTACATAGTATTAAATGATGTCTGACTGTGATGCTTTTCAAACATAACTGACTTTTACTCTGACAAGGTGTAGGACAATCATTCGTTTGTATTTTAAATCCTTTTGTAAGGATGTATAAACATTCATAAGTGATTGACTGTAAACTATGAAGGACTCTTCTAGTGAAATAAGTAATTTGTTATAGTTAAAATAACAAACTTTAATTTCAATTGATAACATTTGTTCACTTTTCATAATAAGTAGTTATGATAGAAAAAATATTCTTCTATTTCTTAGGCTTCTTCACCATCTGGTTTCATTTCCTTTGGTTACCTGATAGTATCTTTCAGTTAACGACATTCAAATTCTTTATAACCCCATAAATATATTGTTGCTATCATCTTTTTGTTGAACCTTCATGTTCTGCTGTCAATCCTCCTTCGGGATAGGTCTGAGAATATTTTCGAGATAAGATATGTTTATCGTAATAAGCAACTTAAATCCATTATCCACTCCCTTATACTGTTTTGGAGTAAATATGATACCTAATGATATATTTTACTGGACCCTCGATTGTCTCTGTAAGGAAGTGTCGTAGTGGCTGTGACTAATGCTGGTGTGAAAATGGATCATTTTTGAAATGCCTATACGTATTATTTGTTAAAAAGAATATAATTTCATTTTATGGTCTATTTAAACATTGTGAACAATAAGGTATAGCTACTAAGAATATTATTTAATATTTAATAATAGTGAATAACTTTTTAACATATTTTATATAAAACATATACCTTTTCCTGTAGTTAAGAATATGAAATAGTTAGTTATTTTAACGCTCAAAACCATTAAGCATCTATAGCCCAGCGTCTAAAGAATATATTCTCCTATAATTAATGATGTGAAAATCGGACTCAAGTTCCTTTTTTTTAATTTAGTCATATCAGTAATGAATAACGTCTGAAAAGTCAATTATTATCCCTATAGCCTATTATCATCCCTATATTGTCAATTAAAACGGATTAAATCACAATTTCGTTGCTGCTACTCCTTTTTATTTCTTTCCAATAGACGTACATCTTGAAGTTGAAGTAAGAGTTACATTAGGAGTTACCAGATCAAACGGTGTTAATAATACGAATTAAAAAAGTCAGTGAAGTAAACACTTTCCTTTTAACAAAGAGAAATATTGTCAAACTGCTATGACTTGTGTGCTCTAAACAAAGGAAACAATTTCTGACTTGCACATGTTCATGAAGAAATTGAATTTATTGCAAGGACATGAAGTGAATATACGGAATTCGTGTGACTGGTTAGGACGCTTGCACACAACTTAATCCTTCTGAATTTGTGAAATTATCTTTCTGATAAAATTAACTTTCAGTAGCAACAGCCAAAAATACTAATGAAGTGAAATTAGTAAGAAAACGAATTAATTAACTCACACCCCACTACTATTAGGTCCTCGCTGGTGCTCGCTACCGT